AAATCCACAGTGAGAGGAAGCAGTATACTACACAGCTTGTAATCCCTCCATTTTTCTTGTGTTTTCAGGAATCGAGGCGAGCGAAGGATGAGCGCTTTCGAGTGCGTGCGTCAGGTGTATCAGACAGACGGCTTTCGAGGCTTCTACAGAGGGATGTCGGCATCCTACGCCGGCATCTCAGAGACTGTGATCCACTTTGTGATCTATGAAAACATTAAACGGCGCCTCCAGGAGGCCAAGGCACCGCAGAATATGGACGAGGAGGAGGATTTGACAAAAGATGCTTCAGACTTTGTGGGGATGATGCTTGCTGCTGCCACCTCCAAGACTTGTGCCACATCTATTGCTTACCCTCACGGTGAGAGGCTGTTATTAGCTGTTCTCATCTGGATGTCTGATCACCCCCCATTCTGTTCTCTTACCCACCCTCTCTCTTGTTCAAATTTGCAGAAGTGATTCGCACGCGACTACGCGAAGAAGGCACCAAGTACCGCTCTTTCTTCCAGACTCTAACGACAGTGCCCAAAGAGGAGGGCTTCCGCGCCCTGTACCGCGGTCTCACCACCCACCTGGTACGCCAGATACCCAACACGGGCATCATGATGTGCACCTACGAGCTGGTAGTCTACCTCCTGAACGGTTAAAGCCTCCCCACCCCACCCCACCCCCCTCCCTCCTCCTTTGGAGAAAGGAGACCCAGAGCACCTGCACACCAGCTAGCACAGCTAACAGCCTGCTTCCAGAGACAGCACCTCAACTGCTGTCTTGGTGACACAAGACAACACGAGCGGTCGTTCATAAAAAAAGTCTGGAGTTTTGTTGTATAGACGAAGAAGGAGTGTGAGAAAGATCTTTGCGTTGGTTTGGGCATCGAGGTTTAGCAGTGGCAAAGAAGTAGATCCCCTGTTTTCACTTTTATTCCATCCTTTTCTCCATTCTGACGTAAACTTTCTTCCTTATGAAGAAAGAAGCTAACTTCCAGTATATTCTGTCTCTTAACATTACTAATAATGAAGCTCCGTAATACCGAGTGAGCATAGAAGCATCTTAAGTAAAAAGCTTAGATCCATTCCTCATGATCGCTTTCTTTTAAAAACAGTTTAGCTCTAGTGCATAGTACTCCACATATCCCTCAGAGAAGCAGCAGAAATGCAGAATACAAAGGCCCCGAAGTCGATAGCTCATCTTGATGTGCATCACAGAGGTCCTGAGAGCGAGGAGGAATCGGGGGTTTGTGGCTCACAGAGGGGTGGAGGGAGGTGGATGGAAAAAGACGTGCCTTGTGTGAAGACTGTTGAGCAGCTGGAGATGCATCTCTGGCTGATCTAGAACAACAAAACGTCAAGTCATACACTGGTGTTGTTTGATTTCAGGTGCCCTCAGTCACCGTTTTTACATATCATGAAGTTAAATGCAGTCACCTGCTGGTTTTCAGCGTCCCTTACACTGACTCTGATATCATCCAAATGATTCAATTCTGTAAACTCACCAAACTAAACAACAGTATAATCCACCGCTCTAAATGCTGCTGTGGTTCATGGTGTGAAGTAAAAAACAGTAGAGGTAACTAAGCTTAACAGACTGCGGCATAGATGCAGATAAATATATGAAATAACTACCTAACGTGATTGTATTTGTCGGGCCAATTTAGTCGAGATGCAGACGTGTAGTGTGTTTTCTTTACTGGAGCACTTGGTAGTTGTTACCTTTCTCTCAGAAAACGTTATTGTTCAATAGCGGCTTTTCTTTCTCCATAGTGCTCATCTCATTGTATTATAATTTTTTTTTTTTCCCTTAGCTGGAAAATCCAGGCTAGTTTTCCAGGCGAGGACAATCCTCTTGAGTTTACACTGGAACACTTGTTGTACAGCTTAGCCAGCACGTGGAGGAGGTTGGCCAGGAATATTCTGTGTCATAAAACACACATTAATTAACTGCAGTTTAAAAACAAAAAAGAAGTTTGTTTTTGTTGATTCCCTATGATTTTTTTTTTTTTCCAGTCGTTTTCAACCAGTTGGAAAAATCTTTTTTTGGGTGAGTGTGACCAGAGGGTCAGTGTTTTATGTCTTCTTTGGAAACCTTTGAGGTTTTTTTTGTGGCATCTTTGTTTAAACATTACAATTTTTTTTGTTTGTTTTTGTTTTTGTTTTGCTGTGATTGTATTTATCCTCCTATTGTGATCCTCCCATCATAGAGTGAGTGTGTTAAACGGTGATTCAGCCCATTACGCTAACAACGCACAATTCGCTTTATGACCACGGGCTCGCCCTTCAGATGTCTTTATCCAAACACTTCACCGCTCAGCTCTTGGTTTTACAGCATGCACAAAGGATGCTCTAGACTCTTCTTTAGACTCTGTGTTAAAGTGCAGAGTGTGTGCGTGTGTGTGGCATACAGTACCATCAGCACACACTTTTGATGTCGTGCAAATCCACGAGTGATCTGTTGCTGCTAGTAGCGATCGGACAGTTGCGTATCACGGTGCTGGCTTCACTCACGTGGATTTTGAAGACTGGACAGATAGTGTGAGCTGATTGTACCTAACCCGATTAAAGGCTCATTTCGCTCAAATAAGAGAAAATCTTTTCCCCCTGACTCCTAAAAATCTGGAGCGTAAAAGTGCTAACGATGAGTACATTTTATTTTATTTTTTAAACTTCGGGTGATGTGACCCTGTACATGTGCATTTCAAAGCATCTCTTCATGTTATTTGTCAGATGACCCAATCTTCCCTTGTTATTCCTCAACCCCCACACATTTGCATTATGTACAAGTGAGTGTGTGTGTGGGTTTTTGTTTTGTTTTTTTTGCGAGCGCTTGTCCAGATCAGACTCCCATGTGTGTCATTCAGTTGTATTGTGTGGGTGGGAGACCTGCAAACAGTGTTGTTGTTGAGTTTTTTTTGTTTGTTTGTTTTTTAAGTTAATCACTTGAAATTTTTTGCCTTTTCCTGACGCTCTTTGTTGTGTTGCTCCATGTTGTCCTTGATGAGTCGGCTGTGAGTGCGACTCACTATGCATTCTCTCATAACTGTTTTTGTAAAACAAAGTGTCAATAAACCGGAAGGAGTGCAAATGTATTCTGCTGTCAGAACATCTTTCTTAACTCTGAAATATAATTTTTGTTAATAAATCTTTTTTCCTCCCCTTAAAGCAAATATTGGAATCTTTCGCCTGCTCACGCCTCTAAAATGCATCACAATAACATAGTGTGTTGTCAGGATCTGTCAAATTAGTATTCTTCCTAGGATTTGCAAAAACATATGAAACTATATTGGCAATATTTAGGTGTAATAAAGAGGCACTATCCTCTGTAGGTGGCTACATAAGATATTATACTGCAAAATGTATATAAATGGAAAGATGAGTGAATACCTAAAACTTAACGGGTAAACAACACTGTCAACAACAGGGTTAGATAAAATTATGTACAGTCACTGGTCACTTTATTAGGTGCACCATATTACTGTTGGGTTGGCCTCCCTATTGCCTTCAGAAGTGTACGAATTCTTCATGGCAGAGGTGAAATAAGGTGCTGGAAACGTTCCTCAGAGATGTTGGTTTGTATTGACATAATGAAACAACGTCACACAGTCGATGTTGATTGGTCCAAAGTTGCTTTTTGGGTTTGAGATGTGGTGGCTGTAAGGAAACTGTCAAGAAACCAGTTTGAGATGATCTGGACTTGTGGTGGATGGTGGATCACAGGGCTGGAAGCAGTCGTCAGAAGATGTGTACACTGTGGTAATAATGGGATGATATGGTCAGCAAGAAACTATCCACCAGCAGCCTGAATCACTGACACAAGGGAGGCAAACTCTGACCCTACCATCCAAGTGTTGCAACAAAAATCAAGACTCATCACACCAGGCTCTATGTGATTTGTAGCCTCAGTTTCCTGTTGATGACTTTAGTTGTAACAAGTGCTTCTTTGAGTTGCTGTTTCCTTCCTATCAGCTCTAACCAGTCCGGTCATTCACCTTTGACCTCTGTAATCACCCAGAGAACTGCCACTTGGTGGATATTTTCTCTTTTTCCATTCTTTGTAAACCCTAGAGTTAGTGGTTTCTGAGCCACTCAGACCATCTTGTTTGGCACCAGCAGCCATGGTGCTAAGTACTATGGTTACTAAGAAGACAAATACTTTGTCTTCTTCCCCATTCTAGTGCTTAGTTTGAACTTAAGCAGGGTATCTCAACTCTGTCTACATGCCTAAATATATTGACTTGCTGCCATGTGATTGGCTAATTTAATATTTGCATTAATAAGCAACTAAACAGGCCTAACAATGTGGCTCGTGAGCATAAATAGAATAAGGCAGAAAGAGACCTAACACTGCACAGAAGAGCATTTAAGGTTAAAAAATGTATGGTCCAGGGGCCAGAATCAGCTTGCCAGAGTCTCCAGTCCAGCCCGCTGTGCTGCTTCCTGCACAACCAGAATTAAGGTTAAAGTGGCCCACGGTGTAAAATGAGTTTGACATCCCTGATTTTAAACAAATATGTCCAAATATGTTTATAAATTGTGGTTTTTGTTATTGTGAAACTTTTAGTGATTGTGTTTTTTCAATGTGTGTTATCATTATTTTTGCAAAGGACTTTTGTTAAATTCAATGATATTATTGTGAGAAAATGTAATAAGGTTTGTTAATTCGTTCAAACCCCTGAATGTGGTAAGTTACAGCTAGCTCACTAACCTTAGCCCGCCTCCTTGTTAATGTCATTACAGGCAAAACACGTCCTGAGTGGATGTTTCTGTAGCCAACCAGACTCAGAAAAGCGCTGACTGTAACTTGCATGCTTCAAAAGGCTGCATGATTTCATTCTGTAATTAAGGCTAAGAGGTCTGAAATGATGATTCTCACAAGCCAGCATACTTCCAGGCCCGCTCTGAGCTCCT